AGCACTGCCTGGAGAAGATATTCTCAACTAAACTATCTACCATGCAATAGGTCTTATAAATCTGACTAACTTTGCCAAAACAGTAATCTTCTATCTAGTTGAGCTGAAATTAGAAGTCAAATAGTACACCCACACTCGCTTCAATAGGTCTTGTTCGTCCGATCAAATTTACTGAAGACAGTAACCTACTATCTAGTTGAGAAACTATTAGAATCAAATGGCACTAGTGATGAGCGAAATTTATAGCAGAGATGTCCACCATAGTGTTTCATAGTTTGTAAAAATGTTATACAATTTTAATTATGAACATCTAAGATTTGGGTGAATGAAATATTCGACATCTTTCACTCAACAAGCTTAACTACCCATAAAATTACTGTGCATACCTAAACATTAATAAACAATATTCCAAAGTTTGACGATTATTAATGTACACAATGATTTTTTTCAATACTTCGAAATTTAAGAATATCTCATTTATTTAGTATAAGATACTTTTTCCTGAACGTTTGAAAATTTTCAAATTTTGCCATATGATTAGATAATATTTGATGAACTGAAAAGTCTGAATACATTTTTGTTTTCCAATTGTATTGATTTATGTAGAAAAATGTTAAAGCATAATTTACTATATTTTAAATAAACTTTCAGTGAGCCTAACATAACAATTTTTTGAATAAATAACTGTGAAATTTTGTGGTCTTATTCACCAAAGTTTTAATCACTCAAGGGCTATTTTGTGTATAAGTATATCAACAACATCAAGGCAAACAACTTTTGTTGTAATATCTCAGGAGTTTTAGATTTTAATTTTTAAATATTAAATTATTATTTTTAAAATCCTGAAAATTTTAAAACGATTGGATGACGTAATCCGAGGGCAAATTGATCACCTAACAATGTAAATATAGCAATAAATTTCTAAATTATGCAAAATTGACAAACTAATGGTATTAACATCAGTAGCAATGAGGTCTCCATCGTTTTGCATGATTACTTTAGATTAGATTTAGTGTTTTGTTTATTTTTACGATATTTTTGAAACATCAAATTTGAAAACGGTGATATGTGGTGTCTTTCCAGTAAATTTTTAGCAGCTTTTCTTACTAAATTTAGGTTCCCTGAATCCGAATCAGATGTTAAAATCCTTGTGTGAGCTGTGTATTTTCAGCAGACATTTCAAAAACAAATACTGAAAATGCATAGTTGCGCCAGAATGTAGGCAATAAAATTAAAAATGACACCAAATTTCTCACATCATTTATTTCTCAATGTTGAAGACATTTTACCGTATTTTTTCAAATAATTATTCATTTTCATATAAACATTCATTGCCACTTACTTTAATAAAAAACAAAATACCACTTTGAAGTGAATGACAACAATCGCTGCAAATCTACGAATGCTTGTTTGAATGCTGTTGAACGTCAGTCAAATGAATTTAAAATCTACTTTTTTGTAATGAGAAACTTGTCAAAGTAATGGAGGAGTCTCATGTTGACATGCTATTACGATTTCCCTTGTTAACTATCACCAAAAAATGTCTACACGAGACCTTAAAACGCAATTTACAATGATAAATTACCGGTGATCAATTTGCCCTCGGATTACGGTACTATGTTTTTTATTTATGTTAAAAAGATTTCAGGTGGTTCTATTGCTCTTACAAAGTTTTAAGTAGATCCAATTCGTTCAAGTTCTCAAAATTTACCAAAATCATTGGTTGATCATCGATGATCACATAGGAGATACATATTGATGTCCATGTCGATTAAATTGGAATGTTCTATCATTTCTGCTGCTTGAATATCCATGTAACTTTAAAAATATCAAATTCAAAGATTATTTAAGCAATCTTATTGGTTAATTTAGTGCTACAATAAGTTTTGACATGTTTAAACATGATTCGAAATCAACTAATCTCCCGTACATGGGTCATACTATAATCATGATTAAGCATGTGTATACTTATTATGGCACCAACATAACTAATCAGCCAGTTCAAATGTTTATTGAACTTGATTTTTGCAATATTTTGCGGCAATCCAATCACTAGAAGTTTTATTATAGTTAATTGTAACTGACTTGGATACACATAAACTAGCCCTGAAAACGCCTAAAAGTATGTATCTCCTATGTGATCATCGATTACCAATCAATTATTTTCGTATATGTTGAGAACGTCTACCAATTGGATCTGCTTACAATTTTTCTTTTAAATAAGTTTAATAATTATTTGAACGAACTCTATGATTATTTTAGTACCACAATAATTCAATAGCTCACCATTAAAATGACAGCAAATCGAAAGCAAGTTTTGATATCATAAATCATTATTTGACATTAGTTTACGCGATAAACAATTTGATACAAATTTTGTTTTAATTTTGCTGTAATTTGCTCTTCAAAAATATGTTGTTGCAGTTTTTTTTTTCATTGCCTTAGTAGAACATCAATTTGAGTACTCGTTTTGTTATCAACATGAAAATTGTACATCAAATTGAGTTTTCAGTTTGCTCTCACTGATAGCAGAATTAGTTTTCAATGTGACGTCACGGGAAGATTTTCATGTTCTCAATTTTGATACTTTAACCGTCAAAACGACCACAATGGCAGCAACCTGAGTAATCATTATCAGCGTCATCACAACATCTAATTTAGTTTTCAATTCGATCTCAGACTTTGCTCGGGTAAACCATGCTTCGAAAATTACCAATTTCCCATTCATTTTTGTATGGCGCCCTTATCTTTATTTCCGAAGGAGAAATCACATATCCATTAATGTTTCCTACGTAAATGAAGCAATTGGTTCTGTCTTAAGCTCATACTGTAGAATGATAATGTGGCTTCCAAATACACATGATTTAGAATTCTTCCGAATCTTAAAATTGGGAGGAGACATGCTTTTTAAAGTGTCCTTATATTTATTTCCACTTCGGTTATCCACTTCGCGTTTTCAGAGTGTCTAATCTCATCATCTAGATATCTAGAAGCTGTGCAGATCTCGAAATGATTATCTGTACACGCTTCCATGCAGCAAACATTGAGTTTTATTGTAAACTTAGTACCGTAAAACGGGGTGAATTTGATCACTACATCGTTCAATTTTCGTTTCCCAGTCATTCTTTTTCATGATGTTGTTATAAGATAATTTGTACAGTATTTTAATAAGTTGTTTAAAATAGTGCTTTTGAAACGTTTTCCCTAACCCCAATTTTTTGGAAGTGGGAAAATATTCAACTTTTAACTGTTCCTTAAAATCCTACCAGAATCAGCATATATGCTGGTGCTAAATTCGGCGAAATTACATATTTTACTTGATTTTGGGTCGCTGAACTCGAATCTGCGATATGATTGTATGTGAAAACTGATGGAATTTCCTTCATTTAGGCGTATTTTAAATCATATTGCAACGAAATATGGTAGAGCGCTACTTCGTCGTAATCGCCCATTTCCGTTCTATCGATCAGAAAAGATCAATAATATCAATGATTTCACCGTGCACAAATGAATAATAGGTTTGTTCCGATGCGTTAGTTTATTAGCTACAACATAAATCCTGTAAGAGCGCATTATATGAATATTTACGCTCATTGTTCTCAAAACAAAAGAAGCGCTCCTAGCGAATCCCCTTTTTCTACGTTTATCCGTAGGACGAAGAAAATCTAATGGCGTTTCAATGCGTTAGGACGGAATTGAAACTCGTAGAACAAATTTAGAATCAAGAAGCAGCGTTAGATTTTAGAAAATATCTCAACAATTTGTGACTCTTTATCAAATCCAACGGTACGTATCGAAAGGTGAATTAATTTGCAAGTCATATTTGATAGAAATATTCCATTTTTTGTTTAAACTCGTTCAGAAAAGAGTGGTAAACGCGGGTTGTGCTTAGAAGGACGGAAATTAGATCAAAACCCTATGCAGTTTTTTCATAAACCACAACTTTTCTTGAAATGTTTTTTTTTTTCCTTGATTTGTTTTCCGTCGATCTTGTTTTCCGTGCTGAGCACCAATGCTACCGACGCCAGGGAGACAGCTCCCACACCTGGACTCTACCTATCGACCCATCAAATCATGAACAGGGGACCAACGGCTTTACTTCCCTTGATCCCGTGATCAGAGATGTTTTGCCTCTGAACATTCCGGCGGCGCCGACTGGGATTTGAACTCAGGCCTGCGCTTACCACTACACCACCGGCGCCGCTATCTTGAAATGTTAACACCAGATTATTCTTCAGCGAACACAAATCAAGTATAACTGCTTTCTTCTGAAAAAGCATTGCATGATCAACTTCACCTCAGTATTGAAAATTTGCATTTTTGATCTAATTTTAACTCTAAAAATAAACCAAACATGCAATTTAAAAACTTTATGAAAAAGCATTTCCTAGGTTTGAGAGGTATTTGTTGGTATGCCAAACATAGGGATGAAAAAATATTCAGGTTTATCGGTAAAAAGTGATCAAATTTCCCCCGTTTTACGGTACATAACGTAGATCGAGACATGTATTCAGTTATCTTCAATATCTTTCAATTTTGTCACACCTCTTAAAATAATCCTTTATGAAGAACTTGTGAGGGAGTTTAGTTATTTCCCTTTAATTCCGTTATAATTGCTTATGTTTTGACAAATACGTGTGTTTCGTCCACTACTTTTAGACTTGCTCAGTTCCAGTGGTGCTTGAGTAGTTGGCACGAATCTGCCAAAAGATAAACAATTATAATGAAAAAGGAAATAACTCAACTCACTCAAAAGCTCTTCAATCATCATACTGACCATGTGGTTTTCCTGTCAAAGTATTAACATGCATTGCCAATGCTATGTTAAGGGCTTCTTAGCATTAACTATCTATACTAACGGTTTATTGTGAAAGCAGTGCTGACATAAAACCGATTTAAGATGTTTCGCTGTGAGATCCTTATTCTCGTAACCACTTCGAAACTGTGTTTTATAAACAACGAAACAGACAATACTAGAGCGAGATTTGGTACTTCAATACTTACGATTGCTCTGCTTTGAAAGCAAACATCACCAAAGCAAACGCCACGAGCGTCAAGGCTATGGGATGACTGCGTACACGGTCAGGAATCCACACCTTATCCATTCCAGCATCACTATTCTGCATCGCAATTTCTTTAACCGCTATATGGTGATCCTTGAATATGCAGGGCATCATCAACATTAGAATGATAAACCCCAGTGCAGCGCTGATCCATCCCATTGATGTGAACATATTGAATCGAATGAACCCCAGCAGAACAATTCCATCTGTTCCCAATTGGGCCAAAACTGGCTGGAGTGCTGATCCTGCTAACAGACCGAGTGTATGAGCAAGATTTATGTGCGATACGGTCTGTGTCCTTTCCGCAACCGTCGTAGCTGACGATATGTAAGCTCGATATATAGTGCTAGTTATGGTAGCTAATCCTGCAACGGCTCGTGACAGCAGAAGAATTTCCTTTCGATAGATGGGTATATCTTCAAGTACGGCGTAAACGACATGACCGACAACGAACGCAACCAGCGCAATAACGATAGGAACACGAGCTGACGGAAGCCTATTGTTCCACCAACCAAATATCGGGCTAAACGCCAGCTGCATGATCGAAGGCATAGCAAACAGATAGGGAAGAAAGGTCTTGTCAGCGTCCGGATCCAACTGAAATTAGTAGGATTAGAACGATTCAAAATTCACTGATTTCACACAAGGCGAAAAGCACTCACAATCTTCAAATATGGCCACAATCCAGTTATCACTAAATTGAACGCAAAGTAGAGCAAAAACCCAATTAAATAGAAAATGCGGATCGATATCCATCGTTCCCTGTACTGCACTGGTGATTCCAGACCAAGGGCTCGATCGCTTTCCGGCTGCTCAAGAGCCATCCACTTAGGTAACAGTTCCATGTTGTGTAACGTTCTTCGACATACTGAAATCTATTTGAGTGACCATTCACTGATAAAGATTACCCCCTATATCAGCTCCCATTATTTACATTTTATGGATCTGACAAAGCTCGGAGGAAGGGCAATCACACTGATTATTCGAAGCATGTGTTACATGTAAAACGTTGTCCACGCCGCAAGACATATATTTGAACTAACACTGAATGATCCTCTTGTGTAAGTATCACATCGCTTTGTATAAATGGTATAAGTTACAACTCAAAATACGTAACAGGTTTGTGTGCGTCTGAGTTTTGGTGCAAAACAACTGTCAACTTAATTTATAGTCCTTAGTCTATGCGTAAAGCTATGAATATCAGACTCAGCTCGGTTTTACGATCGCATCCGGTCTCTCCAATATCTGAGCAGCAGTGCCGTTCAGTTTCTCCAGCTCCGACGGGTCCACTCCGCCAGGATCCTTCTTACTGGTCACCGTTTGAAGTTCTTGTCCCGCAGTGGGAATGTCATACTCCGGAGGTATTAACCGATCCCTGCAATGTGAAACCATTAGCACATGAAATATAAAGAAGCACCTTAGTCGTTTAAAACTCACCGCACCAACCAAAGCCATAGCATTGTGGCTGACATCATCACGGCAGTTGATCCGAATGTCCAATACAGTCCCAGCTTAGTGTATATTGTTGACAAAAATACCGGTCCCAATGCTCGTGACAGACATCCCGAACCAGTCATGATACCCATCCATGTTCCCTGAGGTCTAGGGCCGAGGATCTTAGAGAAAATCGTCGTAATCAGTGTCACTCCGATTGGGTAACCGATCGCTGTGAATGCGTAGCCAATCAGAAATTGACTGATGGTCATACCCTTAGTCGTTTTGCACCATTCTTGCGTGATTGGACATCCTAATAGTTCAGATTCTTCAGCGGCGTCAAACACTGTGGAAATCTCATCAAACTCAACCCTTGTGAGGTTGGAGTAAACCTCTGTAAAGTTAGACGCATAGACATACGGTGCTGTATGTTGCAAAGAGGTTTTATTCAGAGGAATTGCCAACTTTGGCGGACTATCACTCATCGGTACGTAGACAGCTCGACCCAAAACCATGAGGAAAAATCCTCCCCACAGTAAAACATTATGTTCGGGAAACTTTTTACACAGAGGTCCAATTAATACGAACGTGGCACTGGCGACGATTGCTCCTACAGCCATCACCCAAGCCATGTAGTACAAAGCTTCAACTTTGGTCCACGCAAACATATCCATAGTCAGTGGAGTTGCCAAACTGCAATGAAATCGATCTCATAAATCATATTTAAAGCTCGCACACACAATTGTACTCACGTTTCCAAAAATACGAAATTGAATACTAAAATAAAGAACGCAAATATCAACGACCAAGCAGAAACGTAGTCCGGCTTGATTGCCTTCCAGGTTTCCTTTTCCGATTCCTTTCCCTGCTGAACCATAGCTTCCCTGGCGGCTATCCGCTTCTCTTTGAAGAAGAATGGCAGAAATAGGCAGAAGTTCATGATACCCATCAGAACATTGATCCAACCGGTTGCGGTGTACATGTTCAGATATAGCTTATCCCTAAACAATGGCACTCCATGATCTCCCAGAGGAGTAACAACACCTTGCAGCGCTGGCCCTACGATGAAACCAAGCGTTTGGGCGAGCGACACCATCGATACGGCTGCCGTACGCTCCCGAACTTTGGTAGCCGCCGACAGGTATGACCGACAGACAGCAATACTGGCAGAACTGACTCCGATGAGGAAGCGTGAATACATCATCCAATACTTGTGGTGTGAGGTGAACAGCTCCAGCGTGGAGTAGATCCCACTGGCAATCGAGAACAGTGCTAGTGAACACAACAGGGGAAGTCGGATCGAGCCGAGCCGGTTGCTCCACCAGCCAACCAGGGGGCTGAAGATCATCTGCCCCACCGGATTGGCACCGACAATCCAACCCATAAACTCCTTACCGGCTCCGGGGTCTAACTGAAATACAAAACGGAACATTGATTATCGGAGAGGGGCAAAGGATTTGCAGTGAGATTACCTTATCTAGATATGGCCAAACTCCAGTTAAAATTATACTAAATCCCAGCGACATCAGAAACATTGTGTAGTAGATGATTCTGATGGAGTTCCACCGAGCGGTGTACTCCGGTGCCGTTTCCAGACCATCTGCCAGGTCCTCTGGTGAGGGACGTTTAATGAAGCAACGCTTGAGGAAGTCCATGGTTGATATATATCTAGAAAAGGTAATGGTAGAATTTTGAAGTTAATCATTTTAGTTAACGGTTTGGTAAACTAAGTATTTTAAAGGTTTCCTATAATCTCCAACAAGTAAGCATTCAGAGATCTATATTGACCCTTCCAAAAAAACCCCACATTCTCGTTTGTCCCAGTTTCAATATCAAGAAAGCTGATTTCAAATGCAATGTTATCTAATGCCAGGTTTTAAAAACCACTGACAGTGCATTTTAGCAATCTCTTGATAAACCACTGAATTTAAAAAGTTCCCCAACTCTTTTTAATATTTAAAGTGGTATCCCTACCGAAAGTGCATGAATCAAACGAATCAAACCAAACAACATAACGAACCCTACCATATGATCGCGATGTTTACAAAATAACCATCGAGTTTGCCTTCCTTCCACACGAACCGCATATGTTACCATAGGTCAGTGTCTTCTGAAATAAGGCTATTCTGCACATCGCAATCATTGGCTTTCCACCACTACTACCATCATAACCTGTTCTGATCCCTGTCCTACCGAGTGCAACGCAAGACTGTCCATTAGTATTCATTGTGGCAGGCCTAAAAATAGCGCGATCTATGCAATCTACTACCATCATCAGCGCCGGTAGTTCAAAAGAGGCACACTTCTAGCACACCCCTTCTCATGGCTATTGACACCGAGTTCTCGCGTCACTTTTCAATAGGTCCTATCTACAATGATCCATTCTCTTCATCGACTTTCTCTTTGGATTGACACGGCTGTGTGAAGATTTTTCCGGATATTTTACTGTGCTACTGTGTGTCAAAGTTCGATGGAAGAAGCTCCAATCCAGCTTCTAATGAGGTCTGTTTGAAAAGTGCCGCGAGAATTGTGATATTTATAATGTAAAAGCGTATACCTTCTATACCAATACAAGCATGAACCACTGGCGCATATCAAGTTATCGTGAATGAAGATGAAGAAGATCAAGTTCAAGTTGTTCACTGCAAATTGAAGCGTCTGCTGTACACTTATCTGTATCGTGCCGGTCAAATCAAAACGAGTGGATTGCAATTTAATTACATTACAATTCAATCAATTTCCATTAACCAATGCCACCGATGTATAGCAATTGTCACCCAACATATGCATTGCCGACTGAAAACGAAGTGCGATCCGGGCGATTGAATTAGTATGCCGTTAACGTTGATGCGCCGAGATTTTACGGTGATGGGACTTTTTCGGGAAGTCCATCATTGTTATTATTTCTGATGACGAGTTATTAAAGATTGCAAACTCGTCTGCCCCTGCTGATTTTCTGCTTCAGCTCTGTGAAGGCTAAGTGATTTCAAAACTTTAATTTCTCGATTCAGATGTTACCAGTGTAGCTATTCATTCTCCATCTGCAGCCTGCAATAAGCGTCTTTGCTGATTCACTGCTGCAGGGGTAAATTACTCGAGCCATAGACGCAACCATGCATCCGAAACCAGTTATTTACGTTGCGTTGCATTTTTGCTACTTGTTAACCTTACCCGTCTTCTACCACTGATTGCTGATATCTTATCCGAGGAACTATTTCATTCACCAACACACTATTCTTCAACTAGGCATTCTTATCAAAAGCTACACTATGAAAGAATTTATGTATATACAATTGGTTCATTTACACTACTTGTATAACCGTTACTGGCTTTCATTCAATTCTGCCTCAACGACAAAACGCCCATGCAAAGTAAGAGAAAGAAACAACAGATACTTACAACTAAAAATAAAACTTGACACGAGTTCCTTGGTTTAGTTTCCGTCTTACGAAAATTGATCTGGCTGCGGCAGTCAATCTTCCACCCTAATCTTCATTTTACACGTCGGTTGCTTTATCTCATTTTCTTCGAGGCACTGTGCTTAGCGCATTTAGCCTTGCTTTCCTAACCTTGTAAACGTAGAAAATGACAAAATTGCGATTATGGCTTATCTAGCTGTCCTCATCACCGCATCCACACTCAAAACCAGAAAGATAATAATGAGCGTGTGCGGAAGAATTAATTTATATCAAAACAAAGCCACCATCACCAACGTCTGGCCACGCCACACCAAAGCCACACTTTGCCAGACGGGATCACGAACGCAACTGAAAAAAAGTAAAGCAAACGGCTAAAACCTTACCTGCCGTGTGAAACTCAAACACTCACACACATCTACAAAACGATCATCGGTGTGACAGCATGGTGACAGCTGAGTTCAACCCCATTCTATTTGCTCGCGTCACAAATCAAACAATGTGCACCGCTGGTTTGAACGTGTTTGTGAGAACGCCACCAGACCGTAGCTGTCCGTGAGCGGTGGCTGGATTATTTCGTTTACATAGTTGTTTTGTGACGTCACGGGATCACGCAGCATTTGATCGTTGGTTTGTTCGCCAACAATCGTTTCAGAGCGGCAAACAAGTATATTTGGACTGATTCGTGACTAGGGCGTATATGCCAGGGTTGTAAAAACTACAGATTAATCTGTACTAGTGTTTTTAGAACCAAGAATCTGTATTACAGATCACAGATTTCTAGGTTTAACACAGATTATACAGATTTGTTTTAATTATGAGTTGACGCTTTTAATTGATGAGGAAGTAACCAAAGCCGTACATAGCGGGTTTTTAACCCATATTCAGTGTCTGCACGGCGCCCTTATCATGTTTTGTTTGTTCGATGAAAACGTTGCTCTCCAGGATAAATGAAAAATCATATCAAATTTTACATTGCATTAATGACAACCTACCGGCGCCGGTGGTGTAGTGGTAAGCGTGACTGCTTTCTCACCCCAATGGGTCTGGGTTCAATCCCAGCCGAGGTCGGCAGGATTTTTCTGAGGTATAAAAATCTCTGGCCCTTCGGAAGGGAAGTAGAGCCATTGGTCCTGGCCCATGTGTGTTGAATGGGTTCGCTATCCTACGCAGGTGTGAAAGCTGCCTTCCTGCAAACAAAGTGTGCAGCAAAGGCCATCGTTGGGTCGACAGATGTATTAAGGATTGAATTACAAAGCTATAGAAATTCCTGAGTCCTCGCTGGATCTCGATGTGGAGCAGTGGAATACATCAACCGAATATGAAAATGCTCAACGCCGGATTCATGTTTTGGAGGTAGTAAATGACGATGCGGAGCGTGGTATCAACTGGTGGAAACTAACGATTAAAAATTGGCTCACTACTTGACTAGTCTATTGGTCCCAAGCAAAATGATTAACGTAACCCATTCTAGTCGAAATTCTAGTACTACACTATGTTTGTTTTGATTCGCTATGAATGTTTGACAGATAAAATGAGGGGTTCGTGGATTTTCCTAAGTTTCGAGGGGTGCATCGATTAGCTTTGGACCGAAGATAGTACCAGAGCTGAGCCAAAAAGTTGAGCACATTTCTTCGGAACCTTCTGGTCTTAGAGTAACTTCTATGGTGATATAGCATTGATTAAAAAATGTGATGTACGGGCAAAAATTAACTGCTTAAGCTAAATGTAAGAATGTATAAGCTGGCCTGCGTCTAAAATTGTTAGTAAGGAAGGGATAGCTAAATAATCATCGATCGCGCTCAATGAAAGGAAGCAAAATTATTCCCCAGAAGGACCGAGTAAATTGGGAGTGGTGCAAAGCGAGAAGCGTTGATTGGTTAGAGCACTGGCCACGGTCAATGTTGTACCCCCCTAAAAATCCTCTGTACAAGTAAGCAACTTTCTTAAACACGAATGAAAATCATAACAACGCTTGTCCTAGTATGTGATTAGTGATGCACTTTAAACTGCTCAACACTTATTCTTGATGTTCTTGAAATAGGAATTGCTCATTTCAAATAAAAAAAAAAGTTCCCCAAATTCTACACTTCTCATTATGTATCTTAAAATATTTTGAAATGTTGACCCAGATAAGCTACTACTCGATTTTTAAGGTGAAAATGGTCTGAAATCTATGAATTGCAATTTTTCGTGAATCTCTTGAAGGATTATTCACATTTCATTCAACTACGCGCCTAGATGTAGACAACGGTTTTTTGTTTCAATTAATTCATTTACAAAGTGTAAAGAAAGAGAGAAGGATTAGTAATTTCCATTTAATTCCACTACCGATTGCTTGTAATTGACAGATACGCGTATTTCGTCAATGTGCAGACGTCTCTAGTGTCTTGTACTCATATTGTACTAATACTTCAGTGTCTTATACTAAAAGTCTAGCATTAGTACAAGACACTGAAAAAGTCTGCACATTGTAGACGAAATACGCGTAACTGTCAGCTAAATAAATTCAGATTCCCATTCAAATAATCGAATTTTAAGATGAAAATGGTATGAAATTTATGAATTACAATTTTTCGTAAATCTCTTGAAGGATTATTCACATTTCAATCACCTACGCCCCTAGATATAGACATCGTTTTTTTTTTTTCAATTAATTTATTTATTTCTTATAAAGAAAGAGGGAAGGATTAGTAATTAAGTGTTTTTTACTAATACTCCAGTGTATTACACTAACAGTCTAGTATGAGTACAAGGCACTAAAAAAGTTTTCACATTGTAGACTAAATACGCCTATCGGTCAATAATAAGCAAATAAGGTGGTGGAATTAAATGGAAATTACTAACTCAAATGTCCAAAAGGGCCCACAACCGAGAACCAGCAAATAATTTTTAAATTGCTAACATTTTTTTTAAAGTAACATTGTTTATGAGTTCTTCTTACTTTCCAGGGAGGCGACTTAAGTTTTGCTTCCGCTTTCTCTCGTGTCCGCAACTCCCTTATTTCTTCGAATCATGTTTCCTTCCACAGCGCCAGCCGCTTGGATTCCTTTTCGTACGCTTTTTGCTGCTTCTACGTATGGTCTACAATTATACATTTTTTAAAGTAATACACGTCATTCCGATGCTTGGAAATAGGCGGCTGCTGTTTCTGAGAGTCGGTTGTTTCCTCTCCACTAATTTTCTTGGCCTCGTCTATTTCCACCACCTCTTCTTCCAGCTTCCTCTGCGTCTTTATTGTCGTTTTCCGTTGACAATTCACCTCCAGTCACCATACCAGCGTACGTACTGCTACCATAGAGATAACTCTAAGACTAGTAGGTCCCGAAGAAACGTGCTAAGCTTTTTGGCTTAGCTCTCTTCGGTCCCAAGCTAATCGATGCACCCCTCGAAACATAGGAAAACCCATGAACTCCCCATTTTATCTGTCAAGCTTTCATAGCGAATCAAAACAAACATTGTGTAGTACTAGAATTTCGACTAGAATGGGCTACGTTAATCGATTTGCTTGGGACCAATAGGCTAGTCAAGTAGTGAGCCAATTTAAGTTCGTTAGTTTCCACCGGTTGCTGCTACCGCTACTGCGTTCTTCGTTGGTTTTCTTCTTCCTGTTGTGCTGCTTTCGTACTGGCTCCTTCCGGGCCTTCCACTTGGGACAGGAATTCATCCGATGCCCATCTATCTTACAAAGGAAACACAAGTTTTTGTGCCTTTGTCCTATTGAGGAAATGCAGTGAATTGAGAATTTCCTTTTTACGTTCATACACGGCCAATAACAGTAACTCAGTGAGAGAGTTTTTTGTACTCAGTTTTCAATACGACGAGGAAAAAAAGTAAGAGGTTGTATCCAAGACTCGACCGTAGATTTTGTTGAGAGGTAGCAATTCCACTATTCGACTTTACAGTCGGAACCCCTTTTTCGTACACAACTGTCAATTTCTTTTTCCTGAAATGTCATACAAAACAAAACCTCAAAGAATATAAACGTGCTTATTTTACTCCGTAATTTTCTCTAGTTTAATTCCGGTTTATCACGGTCAAACCTATTTCCCATTAGGTTATGGGCCCAGAATAACGCGAGTAATCGGTTCGGGAGTGTTTATCGACCGGAAAAGGTGAATTTGTGAGAAATGGAAGAGGAGAAGGACACGCATGATGTGCATCGTGTGCATCTATTTGACGGGACCAACTTCCCCACGTGGAAGTATCGGATGGAGGTAGTTCTGGATGAATATGAACTACTGGAATTCATCACGACGGAAGCACGCGAACGGGAAGAGTTGGTCGTCAATGCAGCGGACACGGCGCCGGAAAAAGAACGCAAGGAGAAGGAGCTGGCAAAGGCGAAGAAAAGGGAACGCAAATGTAAATCCCTCATCGTCTCCCGGATAAGTGACAGCCAAATCGAGTACGTACAGGGACATGAGACTCCGAAGGCCATCTGGAGTGCACTTTCTCGTGTGTTCGAGCGCAAAAGCGTTGCAAAAAGGATGCACCTAAGTCGACAGTTGAAGGAACTGAAATACGAAGGCGGACCATTGCAGCAACATTTTCTGAAGTACGAATCGCTCGTCCGGCAGCTGCGCGGAATCGGAGCGGTGATGGAAGATGTCGATGTTGTCTGTGGATTGCTTTTGAGCCTGGGTGAAGAGTACGCAACTGTTGTTACGACGATGGAGTCGCTTCCAGCCGAAACGCTTACGCTCGAGTTTGCGAAATGCCGGCTGCTGGACCAGGAAATCAAGCAGAATGCATCCGGTAGTGTGAGTGCTGTATCGAAGCAGGAATCAGCGGCGTTCGGTAGCAGCTCTAAAGGAAAGTCCGCGGGAAAACAGAAGACATTCAAGTGCTTTTACTGCCAAAAGGTTGGCCATAAAGCTTCAGAGTGCCCTGTGAAGGAGAAGGAGAAGAAGAATAAATCGAAGCCGACCGCTCATTTCTCGGAAGAAGGCAAGGGTGTGTGCTTCGTCAGTGTTGGAAATCCGTGCGCAATCAAGAAGATTCAGTGGTTCGTGGACTCCGGCGCGTCCGAACACATTGTAAACAATCGGGACCTTTTCGTGAAGCTTCACCGGTTGGAGCGGCCGATGGAGATTGCCGTTGTGAAGGACGGTGAAAGCATCGTAGCGAAGTACTCCGGAACTATCGTTGTGAACTCCGTAGTCGGTAAGAAGAAGATTGAGTGCCAAGTGAAGGACGTGCTTTTCGTACCCGAAGCAAGATGCAATCTATTCTCCGTGAGAAAGGTTGAAAGTGCGGGAATGTCGGTAATTTTCCAAAACGGGACGGTGAAGATTCTGAACGGCACGGAAGTGGTCGCGATCGG